TTTTTTGCCTTGATGACCTAGACAAAAAAAAAGCATAGGGATGTTATAAATTCTTTAAAAAATTCCTTTTTTTTTTAAGACATAACCTGGGATTCGAACCCGCACTATCGCGCGCCCTGCATGCATCCCCCGATACACTTCGCATACATACTAATTCTTCCAAGTTGTTTCACATTGTGATCTTGCATTTGAAAGCCCCATTTGAATATGCATTGTGGCCAGCCGTCTTTGATGGCACGGTACGGTAGGGGATAGGGACGGGACAGGTACGATCGAGGGTAATACGACACCGTCTCCCGTACCGTACCGTACCATCAAACACAGCTGGCCACATACAGCTGCCCGCAATATTCAAATAGGGCTTTCAAACGCAAGATAATAACGTAAAGCAACTTGGAAGAATGGGTATGAATGCGAAGTGTATGGGGGAATGCATGTAGGGCGATAGTGCGGGTTCGAATCCCAGGATATGCCTGAAAAAAAGGAGAATTGAAAAATTTATAACATCCTATGCTTTTTTGCCGTCAGATACGGATAGCGCCAGGCGTGACACAAACAAACAAACAAACACCAAATTAAAGCTGTGTGGACCCTGGCTAGCGCCAGACGTTACTGAAGTAACGTCTTCTGCATAGCTACGGGAATAATTTAATTCTGTTGAGGCTGCAAGGCCTCATAGGTGTTGTGTGCGGATATGCCCAGGGGCGTCGGAAGGAATTCTATATTGATGCGGCTATGAAAAGGCGGGGTCCAAGGAAATTGTGGAAAATCCGGCCCAAATAGCCCATATTTCATTGCTAAAAAAAAACAACAAGATGAAACCATTGGTGCGGCCAAGGCCGCTCCTACCGCACTGGTTCCGACACCCCTGATGCCCGAAGACTGCAAAAATCATTAACACATCTTCTTGTAAACCTATGCATTTTGGACCATCGTTATATTCGCGAATCGTTATAAAAACATGTCTTTTAAAAAGCAATTAACGAATGCTCAACTCACACCAGCGCTAAAACTGTGATACGAGCGCGCGCTTTACTTTATTCATCGCCAGATTTAGAAAAGCGATCCTGTCAGCTTTTCTATCATTGTGGTCACATTTTCATCTTGAGCTTGCATGAATTTACAGAGCACATTCAATCAAGTGTTTCTGTAACTAATTACTTGAGTACTAAAGGTGGTGATACCACGTGTTACGTGTATTTGACACAACCAATACGAACATGACATGACTTGTGCTGAATCAAACAGGAAACCGTGGTAAAAGGAGATAGGGCGCAGCAACGAGACACTACTCACTCCGTTATCTACGGAGTAAGCTCTGTCACTTCAGCCAGTTCAGGACGCTAAAACTACGGACTAGTTCCTCGATCGTACATTGTACATACACGTACACCCCCACACAATCGTTACGGATTTCTTTGGTTTGAACGACGTGACAACAGTCAGCATGAACAAAGACTTGAAAGAGCGTCAGAAACATGACAATGATTGACATTGCATTGTGCGTGGACAGGCAGGCACCACGCACAAAAGTGGATCATCAATGTCATAAAAACTCATTACGGCATGGCGAGGTGTACATAAAAGTAAGGTACGTGTACCTAGTCAAAAACGGCCTTGCCAGCCACAAACGTCTTCATCGTGTCAGCGAGAGTGAGTGTCAGAAAAAGAACTCAAACGGGGACTTACCGAAATGAGGGTGTTCCACACAGACACTCATTCAAATCGATTGTAGAGCCTCCTGCCATTGCTGCTTGTCCCACAAGAAATGGAGCTTCTCTCCCTCAAGCAACCTAAGCTTCCGTTAGGATGCGATAATATAAGCCATGCAAACTCACGCGAAATAATTATCGGCAGCTGTTTGACGTGCTAGCCATACCAATGCGCAGTGTCTGTGAACTCAGCGCCAGCCTTTGCTCCAAGATAAACTTGCTTGCGTCTTATTCACACTAAATCACAGTACCACACAGTGAAAGAGAGAGAGAGCAGCAGCAGCAGCAGCCACAGAAATGTGGCGAATCTGCCTAAAATATAAACAAGACCAAACTCCTGCAGGCCTGTGGTGTGCGAGCGTGGAGTGTTACAAAATTTGACTTTCTTGTTCATCGCTTCAATTTTCCGATCCGGCCATTGCATTGGCCGTATAAATGACGTAAGTTCTTCATGCATACGCTCGTAGATCTACGAGTGAAAATCGTACAAAGTCGCAAGGCTAAACGCCGTATTTTACTATTCCCTCGACGAAACTGCACAGATATCTTCCCTACAACGCTTAGCGACGTTACGTACTCAATGCACTCACTACACTAGCCACTGACTACAAAGACAAGTACCGCGGTCGCGAAGATTCTTGGTAAAAGGGGGTCGCATGTAATTATTGTTACAGTCCAGGTCCAAGCCACCGAGGACACTCTAACACCATTGCCGGCATTGGCATTTATTGGCAGTGCAGACAGACTTGCATGGCACTCGTCTCTCCCACTCCCAGTCTCACTCTAGCTCTGCCATTCACATACAGTCATCATTTGCTTTGCGTGGGTGTCTCTGACAGACCTCTTGACGACTTGCGTCTTGGAGACCACAGTCATCGGGACTCATAATTATCATGAATGTGTATACGTTATGCGAGCACTCTGGCAAGGACTTGCCTTATTCTTTGGAAAATTTATTTTTCATTGCTATAACTATCAGGTTCGGCCTCATTTTCTTGCTGCGATGCGCTGATATGAGTCCACAGATAAAAAGATGAAACAGTTCTGTCCTCAGATTGTCTGATTCAAGTGATTGAGTGGCATGTGCATGATATTGTACAATCATGTACATGTACATACAATGACTATGTACAATCATGTACATGTACGTGTTGTACATGTACGTGTTGTACATGTAATACAGAGTACACGGGCAGAACAACAGAGACCAAAAATCTTTCTCCTAACTCCGAGTTTCGTGTTTCAAAAAACACTCATCAGACTGTGGTAAAGCTCTGCCCTTTTTGAGGTACTGTATTGAGCACTATTTGCAGCAAAGACTCCAGACACTTTGTGTATTACAGAGTAGTAATGCCATTCGTGGTAGATCTACGCTATGGTTTTCACGGTATTTCTCACCTTGCAGTACAATGTCATGTACATGTAATTGCTCCCCTTTTTAATGGCTTTATGTTCCATGCACAACCGTGCAATCATTGGTATGAATCGGTAGTTGTCCAGGGTCTGCTGGCAGTGCTGCCTGTAGCGATAGTAGTGTTTACTTTTTATGTGCCATTGACACTACACGACATGTATAACACAACGCCAAAAGTGTGATAAAGGCAGCAGCAAACAGTGCAGTACAATGTCAAATTGCAAAGTACAATGTGTAGACCCGGGTGCTCGAATCAGAAACGATTTGACAGGTGTGAAATTTCTCATCTGTAAATCTCAACAATGTCAGAATAGCGCACACCCTCAATGTCAGAATATACTTTTGGAGAGGCGATGGAACAGGGAAGAGAGTCTGGCTTGGCCCACCCAGCAGGAATTCAGAACCTGGGTGCGCTACAACACAGCCTACAGTACGCAGTAAAATTGTCGTATTTCCTTCGGATTTTTTATTTGAAAATTGGGTGCTCGAATCAGAAACAGCGAACTCGTCAGATCGTCTCCGATTCAAGCACACGGGTCTACCATCGTCTACGCTTGTTATGGCAGTTGAGGGCAGGGAGTAGTAACTTACTACTTCGTTTTTGAGAGCAAGATGGTCAGCGGAGCCGCAGATTCAGCAGGTCTTTGGCAGCACCGTACCGTAGACCCACATCCTCGAATCAAGGACCCAACACAAAGCGGGTCGCGAGTATTTCAAAAACCGCTTACCGGGCAGAGCTGAAATTTGGCATACCGTTAGCGGGCCGTATGTTGATGGTATTTGTGACTGAAAACTAAACGAAATCGGAATAAGTTTAGGTACAATTTCAAGCTGTTTCTGTTTTGGTACCCTGTGTCTCATTCGAGCACCCGGATCTACTAGGCCTCGACCAAATATGCTTGCGCATATTTCCGCATATTTTTGTGAGACAGTTCATTATGGCATATTGAGCGACAAAGGAAATATTGGAATGAAGCCAGCATATAATTCAAATATTCTGAAGAAAACGAGGACAAAACATTATTACGGACAAAATGCGTTCAGAAATGCCTTTTATGGATGAATTTGGAATGGTTGAGGCGTTTGCTACATTTCCCCATGGATGAACACTATCGCTACGGTTGCTGGGGACACACCCCAGCCATACTATTCCGCGTGTGTTTTGATTTGCACCATAACATAAGCATGATAGCCGTGTGAATACTCCAAGGTTGTAATTTTACTGAAATGATCTACACTTTCTGCTTATGTCGAGCATATTTTGGCATGTTTTGGCATATCTTTTTGCATATCTTGCTAAGCCTTTGGCATACATGTATTATGGACGTTTTCCCTGATATGCGACGAGCATAATATGCTCTTGTTTTAGCATATTTGGTCGAGGCCTAATGTGTACTTAAAGTCTTTTGCTGCTGCTGCCTTTCATTGAGTTTCAACCGACCAGGCAGGCACAGTCAGTGGGTTGGTCAAAGACCATGATTGAGATACACACGAGTCACAGAGTACCACGCGTCTGGATTGTTGTAACTAAAAGTTTCATGCCAGATGGCAATCTTCAGACAACTGATCAAAAGATTGCCAACTGATCAAAAGATTGCCATCTGGCATGAAACGTTTAGTTACAACAACCCAGACGCGTGGTACTCTGTGACTCGTGTGTTACTGCTCTGCTTCCGCATTGAGCACTCTATCAAACCGGAGGACTCCGCTCTCTGATTGAGATACATGTACGTACAGTAGTACCTGGCTCAAGTCCTGCGTGAGAGCGGTTTTCCCACCCGTGCTGCTAGTGCTACCCACAGTCAACTGGGAACTAACTTGTGCCGTTGTGGCCAGGGGTAGATCTACATGTACAGTCTGTATCGGCTATATCGTACCCTTTTGATTTCCGTGATTTTATCACTATAACCGCGCTTAACCGATGCATCACTATTATGCGATGCGATCGATTTTTTTCTTTTTTCGATCGACACATGAAAGGCAAGGAAATACTTCCAGCATGGCGTTTTGACAAATGAGCATGCTGCATAGTTGACAGTGCCCGCATTTCCATAAAAAATTCTGTTATGTACACGATTGTACATGTATCACTATAAAAATAAGCAACGTGAAGAAAGTAAAAAAATAGGGCCTTTGATATTATTGCTACATGTATTTTAAAGTTATCACTATAGCCGATAATAATGTAGTGTGTTATGCATGTTTTGATTCTTTGTTGCCATCATAATATCCGATATATCATTACATCCGATAATATTGGTTATACTGTAGTGACATTTAATAATAATAATAACAGCTCGCATGTACCCCATGGGTGAGATCACCCATGGGGCTAACGCATCTGTCGGCAAAAGAGTTAGAGAAAACGAGAAACACATGACATACACACCTTCTTCATTCTGTTATTGCAGGGAAAAACTACCTCGATTCCACCATGAGCCTAGGCATGAGGAATATAATATTAATTAAGTACAGAATGTTATTTACCAAAAGGATATTCAAGTAAGCGCAGATATTTTTTAGCATGATAAGTTAGTACATTGATTCACAATGCCGAGCCAAGCTTCCCTGTCTTGGGAAATAGCTTCCGCTTCGGCAATGGAAACGTTTATTGTCTTTAAGTCATTCTTGATGTTGTCGATCCATCTGGTGACGGGGCGTCCCCTGGGCTTCTTGATGTCTTTGGTGTCGATTGAAAGTCTTAGAGCTTTGTAGGATGTCGAGTCACTGCCTTCTCTGATTACATGGCCGAACCATAACAAGCGCCGTTCCCTGCATGTTCTGGTGATAGGCAATTGGTTGGACAGCTTGTATAAGTTTTTATTCGATATTTTTTGGGGATACACTACGCCGAGAATGGATCGTAGTTTGCGGCGATGCCACGTGTCGAGCCTGTTGCCGAGTGCTGCTGTCAAGGTCCACAGGCCACAGTTGTATAGTAGAACCGGAAGGATAAGAGTGGTAAACATAAGCATTCTAGATAATAAAGTGTGTCTCTTCCAGGCTATAGTGCCAAACGCTCGGTTAGCGGCATTGATACGGTTCTCGATGTCACTTCCAGATCCCAAGTCACTTCCAAGTAGTTTCGTCTTTCTCCATGCGTCATCATCCTTGGAAGGAGTTACAAATTGAGTTTTTGTTAGATTTAATCTCAGGTCATCCTGGGCGAAAATTGGCTCACATTTCGCTGCAGCGGCCACCACAGCATCACGATCAGTGTCATGTATTGTGGTGTCATCTGCATACTGTGAGAAATGAGTAGGCAGGCATGAAGGGGCATTTGTACTGGATAAAATACGTTTTGCTTTTGATAATTCGTACCAATATCACTGTAGCCGATATATTCTTATATCCCGTCACTCTATAGCCGATACAGACTGTACATGGATGCGGCTAGTAAGTACTAGTAGTAGTAATGCCTAAGTAATGGGGTTTCTCCGCACTTGTGCCAGTGCCAGTGGTTGTGAGACTTCTCCCCGGCCTTACCATGCTTACTCCCACCGCTAGGCGCTGCATCTGCCGCTAGGGTTCCGGGTGCACGTTGTTGGTTGTCAGCATGTTACAAGGCGAAGGACACACACTGTGTTTGGAAAGCGCGCGGTTGGAAACAGAGGTCAGTGCCCCTTACTACAAACATCCACGGTTGGCAGGGCCCCGGTGTTGCGACCATTTGAACCGTATGGGTGTTAGACTGTTAGCCCTGGTTCTGACCATCATGATCAGGGCCGGCGCCATTGGTACGGCCATGGCCGTACCAACTTCCCAAAAAGTCGGTCCATGTGGAACGTCCAAATAATAATAAAATAAATTTTACGGTTCGCGTGAGACTCGGCTGAAAGCCGAGTTTTCCGCATCCGCCGTGGGAACGCCACCACCCTCTAGGATCAAAGGCGCAGATGCAGCGCCTAAACGGTGGGAGGTGAGTAGATCAGACCCACCACCAAGTGGTCAAAGACCGAAATCCCATTAGCTGCATCCATGTTACCCTCGTGCCAGGCCACGAGTTCCCAATAACTGTGGGTCGCAGCACGGCTGGAAAAATTCCTTCCGCTTCCAAGCAGGACTTGAACCTGGTACCCTCTGTTTCTCAAAAACGTCCAAACGTCCAACGTCCAAAACCGGGAAGAAAAAGTTTTGATGTATGATTTTGTACAGGGAGTCGCCCAGAGTGCAGGATTTGCCGTCTAAATTCCAAAATATTCCGGGGGAGGACCCCCAGACCCCCCTTTAAGATGGCCTTTCGGCCGCATCGCTCCGCGGAAGCTGCCTCCGACCCTGATGATACACCCCAGAACGAACGAAGAATGCACTACTGAGAGTACAATAAAATAACAAGAAGACTCAAACAACTCCCGTGTACTAATGAGATTCAGACTGACCAGGCCTAACACCCATTATGATAGTACCAAGAGTACATAACTGTAGTTATGTACTCTTGATAGTACGGTTCAAGTGGTCGCAAGACAGGGGGTCCGGGGCTCTGCCAACCATGGCTGGCTATGCGATGGGCACTGTTTCCGAACACAGTGGTCCTCCGCCTTGTATTGTGTGTAACATGCTGTCAATGTCGGTACCATGTACCGGTACATGACATGTAAATCTACCCAGGACAGGAAAAGAACAATAACAAAAAGCGTGTTATACATACAGTACATACAGTACAATGTACATGTACGTCATTAGTGAATCCGTGTCCGTGTGACTACAATTGTGTTGTAAACACAACATTGCGAGCGTGGCCGTGGGTCCATTGCATGAACTTTACATGTACGTGTACTCAGTATCACCCACGTTCCCGTATCCGTTACGCCGGTGAGACTAAACCTCCATACCCGGTATACCCCTAGGCCCTAGCTATTATCTTGTCGTGACCAATTATTATTTCAAAGGACGCACACGTATACTACGCATGCGCTCAGGAAACTCCCACTCGGGACGGGAACGATGCGAGACCAAAACAGCAAAGCCATGATTGTGGCGAGTCGTCAACAGGAAAATAATACACTGAATCAGTCTCTGACAACACACAGACACTGCCACAGTGGCAGTGCCAGTCTGCCACGGTGGCCTGCTTAGTTAGCAAGCACTGCCACAGGCACAGTGGTTAGCAACCTTGCCAAGCAGGGCCTGACTCGGAGGCGCAACAGATTCGCCACACGGTGAAGACACCAGGACTACACTACTGTCACTAGTCTACAGTTCGGCAGGGCAGTCATGTAGATCTACATGTATCTCACGGATATTATGATCCTATTCGAAGTGCACCGCAGATTGCGAAAATAGTCAGGCCAAGATAGGTTGATTTATATGGTCATTTATAAATCAATCCCCCTTCTTCATGCCTAATCAGGCTAATGTTTCAAAATTGGGGAATTGTGGGTTGCTCCCTACGTGGGAGCTTGCGCTATTCCTGCCGACTTGAATTCTCACTTGACTGACTCACAACTGCCATCCAGAGCACACGAGAAGACAATCGAACTTTCCACTCGGCAAACCTGCAAGAAAGCACCACTCCCTGCTCAATATACAGTGTTTCGGGGGATTCACCCCTCATCAGTTGAGCCAAAGTCGCACCAACCTCTTCTTCACATTGTTGTCCCCGGCCCGGACTTGCGAATTAGATGGTTTGGAGGCAATAACGGTGTGAATGGCCAACAGTCCTCAGCGTTTGTTCAGCACCTCCATGAGCGACACTGACTCGCGCTGCTATCTGGTGTTCACGAGGTGTTTGTCGCGCTGGAAACGGAGCGTCGCTGTAAGTTTGTAAATTGTATCCCTGGTACATGGTGATGTTTGTGCCTGGAGAGCACTATGTAAGTCACGTTAGTGGTGCTCTTCAGGCACAATCTTCCTCAGATTTAGCTTACTCAAGCTCAACTGATGAGGGGTGAATTCCCCGAAACACTGTGTATTGAGCAGGGAGTGGTGCATTCTTGCAGGTTTGCCGAGTGGAAAGTTCGATGGACTTCTCGTGTGCTCTGGATGGCAGTCGTGAGTCAGTCAAGTGAGAATTCAAGTCGGCAGGAGTAGCGCAAGCTCCCACGTAGGGAGCAACACACAATTCCCCAAGTATCCCCGAAGTCGCACCAACCCCTTCTTCTAATGTTTCAAGCAGAGGGAATTTATCATCTACCTATGCTTTATGCAGACATGCATCTAACGTTATGCTTGTTCAAGTTTCCATGTGAGGCCAGCGGGGAGAGTGCCCTTCTCCGTAAACCTTTATTATCCTTTGCAAACTCTAATCAAACGTTCCTCTCAAAAAAGTCGGTAGTATGCTAGTCGAAATGGAGATCAGACATTGTTTATGGATGAGTTTTTTGTTGACTGGAGACAGAAGCGGACTTGGCTTAATTTCAGTGTATTCTCATGCATTGTTCTTTGGCCTTTGTACGCGTGCTGTGGTATTATTATTATTATGCTACCTGAGTCCTCGTCAGTCGCAAACAGTTTCAAGTTAGTTTGACTCTGAGAATGTATGTTACCGGTAGCACATCAAGTTTCCAGTTCGAGACCTTACAACATGATCCAGTTACTTGATGCGATGGCAACGGGTAGCAGCGTAGAATATTACCCCATTTCAACTCCCTCAACTGATGAATATTCCTACAGTACAAGTATTGTACTCTGAAGTATATTACATGTATCACGGTGTTTAGGTGGCCTTCTTATCCAGGTCATTTGAATGGAAACAACATCCATTTGGCTTACAATTTGTAGTTGTAGTGGTCCTCTAGGAGAGGCGGTCGCTGTTGCTTCCTGAATGGGAGCTCTTGCTTTTCCTGTCGACTTGACCTCACTGGCTCACAACTGCCATCCGGAGCACACAAGAAGTCCATTCAACTTTCCACAAGGCACACCTGCAAGAAAGCACCACTCCCTGCTCAACACAGTCACGACTTTGGAGAATCACTGAACCGTCATCAGTTGAGCTTGAGTAGGGGACCGACAATGTGTTTAAAAGGTATTTCAACAGTCTCATCAGTTGAGCTTGAATGGAGGTGAATTCTCCTGTATTGAGCAGGGAGTGGTGCTTTCCTGCAGGTTTGCTAAGCCACAGTGGAGGGGTCGATGGACTTCTTGTGTGCTCTGGATGGCAGGCGTGAATCTTTCTCTGAGTGGCAGGTGAAATTAGTTGGCAGTAAAAGCGCAGATTCCAACATAGGAAGCAACACACACATCTTTAATTATCGCCGAACTGATTGCTACCTCTATTTAACCCTTTATGGACTGAACTCAATGTATGTGGAGTGAATTGTGCCCTCAAATTCTTTACCTGTTAAAATCTGGAAATGTTTGCACAATGTATTAAACTCAGCCATGGATTTATAATTATTGTTGGACCTATCAGACAAGTTAGCCCGCACTCCATGGTCATCACCATGAACGCTGCAACAACCCATAAATTAATACTACAGGCAGCTAAGTCGACCATGCATTTCTGGTGGGGTTTTTCTTTTCTTTTTTACTTTGTTCACGTACCCAGCTCGAAAAAAAATGATGAAAGACAATGGTACTGAGACTAGGACAAACGTGACACCTAGTGAGTAGGGGCTGCACCGAGCCGCAGCAGTGATGGCGTGGCATTGATGGCTCGGCCGACCTTAGGTCTCCGCATCACGGTCAAAAACACACACCGAAAATAAAAGATAGAACTGTACGGGTCAGCAAAATGAAAAGGATGGGAGTGTGCAGGGCAACAGGCATTGAAGGTGTGAAGATTATACTTTTGAGGACTGTAAATCAGGTACTAGTTATCGGAAATGACCATAGGAGGTGGCTAGCAAAACCTTCCACCATCAATGGTGATAACATTTCCAGTCAAGTACGAAGCATCAGAACTACAGAGGAAGGCGAGGACACCGGCCACTTCGTCCTGAGTGCCCAGACGCTTCATCGCCGTGCCGGCCAGCATGTGGCTGCCGACCGCCGTGATCTCGTCGTCGTCGAGCGTGACCTGCGACAGCGGGACGCCACTATCCGCTGCTTTGCCGCACGCCGCCTGGCCGCGCGTCTGCGTGCTCCACATGGCGCCCTCGAGCAGGCCGGGCGCGATGGCGCACACCCGTATGCCGTGGCGCGCCAGGTCCTTGGCCGCGGTGCGCGTCATGCCGATGACAGCGTGCTTGGATGCGGTGTAGGCCAGCATGTTCGGCGGGCCTAGCAGACCAGCCAGGCTAGACGTGTTCACTATCACCGCCTGCGACTGCGATTGCGACTTCTGGCCGCCGCTTTCTTTCCGGTGCTTGATGATGGCGGCCGCGGCAGCCTGCATCACGATGAAGACGCCCACTACGTTGACGTCCATCACCTGCCGGAACGTATCCTCGTCGTACGTATCCGAAGGTCCGATGTAGCCCTGGATGCCGGCGTTGTTGAAGACAAAGTCAACACCTCCGAATTGCTGCCAGGCCCGCTCAAAGACCGCGTCCACCTCGGCACGACGACGTACATCGGCAACAGCAACAAGCGTGTCACGTGACTTTTCACTACTGCTGCTGCTGCTGCTTGTCACGCGGCTAGCCTTGTTCGTCTCGGCGAGTTCAGTGCTGAGGCGTTCCAGTCTGGGCTTTGCCGCGTCCAGGTCGACCAGCACCACGTTGCAGCCTTCGTCGAAAAATCGCCGCGCCGCCGCCGAGCCTATGTCGCCTGCCGCGCCCGTGATCACAATGGTCTTGCCGGCGAAGCGCTGCTGACCGATTCCCGACGCTGCCAGATGTTGCCCGCCATTTTCATTGCCTGCATTGGTTGCCATTCTGCCTGCGAGTGCGCGTCCTCCCACAGCCTCAGGTGTTTCTCGGTCCGTTCGTTTGCAGTTTGCTGGTCCGGCGACGTCGCGGGCTTGATGGACTGGGTTGGAGCTGAATGCGGCGACGATGCGGTGGCTGTAGGTAGATCTGCACTAGACAGTACAACGCTAGACGCTACTCACTCATTCATCAATCTTCAGCTCGCGCGAGTGTGTCACTGTCAAACGATCGATATCGTCGATTGCCACTCTGAGTCTGACAGTGGCACTCTGCTTAGTTGTTGTATTACGAGGCGCCGAATCCTCCAAGATACATACACACCTAGGAGAAGCGGTCCTGCACTCAAGATCCTATAAAGTATAATGCATACGGAGGAAAGACAATGTTTGTTGTCACAACTAAACGTGGTAATACTAATACTGTAATAGTGGTATTGGCACGGCCGGACGCGGCAAACTGGACCAACAGCAGTGAACGCAGGCTAACTAACCCCTAGGCTAGATATCTACACTCATGTATATGTACATGCACTAGCCAGGAACGAAAAATATAATAGGGATTTGAAACGCAGTAGGTTAGGAACACATTCGTACAAACCTTTCACTATTCTTTACTCCATAAAACCGTCGTAGATATCTTCACGACTACAGACTCGTGTCAGTTCACGTGGAGCCGTTGGCCAACGCTCGTATCGGTAGCTGATTTGGTTAGTCCTTGTACGGATGCCGGTGCGGTACATCGTCATAGGTCGGACTGTCAGTGTCACTGTTTTGTGTCAGCTTCTACTGTTCTGTAAGCTATTTTTTATTTTATGACCCTTTCGCCCGGCCCCGTCGACATGTCCTATAGGGCTTGAAAGTGATGACGTCAAAACGGCCAGGGAGTAGTAAGTTGACATCAGATTTCTATTTTTGGATCCACTAAGGTGTGACTTTGCTATTGCCTAAGTATGTGGGTGCATAGCAACCCACTCATGTCGCATGCAGGTGTGACTTTTATTTCGCCACCAGTTGTAACCCCGCCCCCAGTAGCCAAATCAGTCAGTTTCACTGGCTACATCACCATGCTGTGGGTAAGACGGCTTGAAATGTGCTTGGATCCATACAAAAACTGGATCCAAGTGGATCCAGTTTTTGAATTTTTGAAATTGTTGCTATGCTGTGACGTAGCACTTTCAAGCCCTTATAGGCTATAGCCTAGGGTCGGGATCCCTACACCATGTACACTGCATGCAGTGCAGGCTAGCTGGCAGTCCCCATGCATGCCTCATGGTCCTACGCCCTAGGGCCTAGGCCCTGGCGATCGAGTCGACCTTCAAAGTTCAATGGCTTCATATCATCACTGACATCAGGTTCGTCACACTCCGACTTCATTGCAGTTCGTGTGGTTTATCGAGTGCTTTCCATTCAATAATTTCTGGTGGATGTCTCTGCCCCTGCATGCGTCTACGGTCTAGTCTATCTACATGACATTGCACTGAAGCCGAAAAGCCTTTCAATTCCCTGAGCGAAGTAAATACCGGTAGTTGCTGTGTTGGTAATAGTAGCGATGACTGGAGTGCGGGCAAGTTGGTCAGTGATAGGTGCAAATCATCTAATGTGTCCGACATAAAAATCCAGGATCGAGTCACATTGTGTAAACATTTCCAGCTTTTTAGATAGAGGTTGCGATTCCGGCGATAATTGAAGAAGTGTGTGTTGCTTACTTCGTGTACACTTGCGCTTTTTTTGCCAACTTCACCAGCCTGACACTTGATTATGACTCGCGACTGCCATCACAAGCACACAAAAAGTCCATCGACACCACTGTGGCTTGGCAAACCTGCAAGAACGCACCACTCCCTGCTCAGTGCTCAGTACAGCTACAGGAGCCTCACACCTCCATTCAAGCTCAACTGATGACCCCTAAAATACAGTGTCCCATACTCCAGCTCAACCGATGACGGTTTGGAGTGATTCTCCACAGCAGTGACTGTATTGAGCACTGCAGGGAGTGGTGCTTTCTTGCAGATGTGCTCTAGTATAGTCTGGATGGCACATCGGCAGTTGGGAGTCAGTCAGGTCAAGTCGACAGGAAAGGCCGCAAGAGCTCTCATTTTAGACTGTACAGTAAGACCTGTCACGGCGACCACCTGTCCTAGAGGATCACTACAACTAGGAATAAAGGCCAGTCAAATGACCCTGGATAAGAAGGCCACCTGAAAAAGTGAAAATACAATACAATCATGTACTTTGGGAAATTCATCAGTGTTCAGGACATCAGTTGAGGGAGTTGAAATTGAAAGTGGTACGTCACAGCATAGCAACAATTTCAAAAATTCAAAAAATGGATCCACTTGGATCCAGTTTTTGTATGGATCCAAGCACATTTCAAGCCGTCTTACTCACAGCAAGGTGATGTAACCAGTGAAACTGACTGATTTGGCTACTGGGGGCGGGGTTACAACTGGTGGCGAAGTAAAAGTCACCCCTGCATGCGACATGAGTGGGTTGCTGTGCACCCACATACTGAGGCAATAGCAAAGTCACACCTTAGTGGATCCAAAATAGAAATCTGATGTTAACTTACTACTCCCTGGCCGTTTTTGACGTCATCACTTTCAAGCCCTATACTCTACGCTGCTACCCATTGCCATTGCAGTATCAAGCAATTTGAATTGGATCATGTTGTAAGGTCTCGAACTGGAAATGTGCTACCGGTAACATATATTCTTCAAACTTGAAACTGTTTACGACGAGGACTAGTACCGACTTTTGGAGAGGAAAGTTTGATTAGAGTTTGCAAAGAATAATAAAGGTCTAGCCGGAAGGGCGCGCTCCCCGCTGGCCTCAGTGGAAACTTGAGCGAGCACAGCATATTAGGTGCATGCCTGCATAAAGCATAGGTAGATAGAAAAAACGATCCTCAGCTTTAAAAATTAGGCATGACGAAGGAGGATTGATTTATAGTTAGAATGACAATAATTATAAACTATAAACCCTGCCACGGCACGAGTACCAGCAGATTGCCAGGACATGCATCTTAGCTTAGCATAGTCACCTGATCAGTATTCTTGAAAAGCGTGACGTACCAGCGGAGTGCGTCGCTGGCATGGTGGAGTACTTCTTTGCGCCCAGTGCGCTCGTGATATCCGGTCAAGGTGCGGTTGTCGTGATTGAGTTCAAGGCGTAAGATGTCACCTGTCTTCCACGGCTGCCCGAGTCTTCCTCCATTGCATATGGGCTCGGCACTGTCTGCAGCGCGCCATCCGAATAGCTCCGACGGGTCATCATGTACGCCATTCGCCTTCGGCTTTGCCGCTGAACACGCACAAATGTACATGTTACTGCCATCAATTCTGTCGATCCTCAATCGAATCATACTTTTTCCATACCTGTTAGGGATGTAACCAGACCACCCTGATGTGAGTGTGTGCCCCCGGTAGTACTGACCTGAACTGGCTGAAGTACTATAACGAAGAGTCTTGCCCTGGCCATCATGACTTTCCCACGTTGGTTCGTACTGTGTCACATCAATCTGCATTGGACTGCCCTGCAAGTGCTTCCCATCAAACTGTACAGATACAGTGAGCGGACCAGGAGCAGCCAGATGCTTGCACTTGGAGAGAAGCCTGTTTGGCTCCACCAGTTCCATTGCTGATGTGGGCAGGTCTTCATCTTCTGCACTGCGCACGGAAATCTTGAAGCGAAGACGCTGGAAGTACTCCGTTGAAACCGTTGGCAATGGTGGATTCCCTCCTTCAACCGTGATTTTCATGTCAGCATTCACGAAAGCATCTTGGACTACTGGTGTAATCTGAGCAATGCTATCGGCAAGCTCAAAGGTGGCACCCGCCTTCTGGATTTCCGCTGAGACTTTCTCGATGTTATCAGCGGAGAAAACAATCTGACTGGCTGTGCACAACTCCACATCGTCAGAAAGGACACGTTTCCGCTGGGCAATGGCATCATTCAGCCAACTGGACATTTTCAGCAGGTCCACGTCATCGTTGCAGGCTTCTGCAATGTCTTTGGCAGCCTGACCCTGGAATAGACTGGCTTGCAGGCGTTCAGCTTGGCGCTCGTAAAGAGCAAGCTTGTCGTCTCTCAGCCGATCTATCTCTGCCAGGACAAGTTTCTCTCTCGCCTCCAACGCTTCTTTAAGTTTGCGAAAGGAGCTGACAACTTCAACCGATGCAGCCAGGGCATCACTGTGCAGATTCTCAACTGCCAAGCCCAGCTTATCTACTGTTGTCTGGATCACCGCATTGCCATCCGATATGCAGTGCCTGACCTCCTTCTCCAGGTGCTCACGCACACTGTGCGCAGCTTGTTCAATGCCCAGCACTTCGTGTTGAGCCTCACTATGAGCTCCAGTGTCCAGGCATTGCTGGCATGCCAGTTGATTACATACAATGCAATACTGGCTCAGGACCTGGTTGGGATGAACGCCGCAATAGTGCTGAGCAAACCGCTGTGCCACAACAGCAGTCTCTGCTTGCTCGGCAGATAGCGACGTCATTTTGTGATCGCGTGTCGCCCGAAACAGCGGGTGAGCAGCAGCGTGCGTTTGACAAAGGTTGGCACCACAGTCAGCGCAGTTAGCCGTGGCAGGTTCGTCTTTGGCACACTCGTCACACATCACCTTCACCCGCACATCGATTGATGAGCTCGAGATCTCTCCCTGAGCCAGCTTGGGGTAAGTGTTCGGTAAAGCCGAAACTGGCGGACTCGCCGTTGGTACCAGAGTCTTGGTGAAGCACTTCGGACATTTCACTCCTCCATCGAATGCGACATGCTGGCCCAAACAAGCGGTACACAATGCGTGGAAGCAAGACACTAGCTTCAGCCGCCTGGCATTGCCGCCACAAGACGCACAGCACAAGCGATCAGACATCGTTGAATCAAGGCAGGGGTCATGTACTGTCGCCTGCGTAAGTATCTACCTCCAGCCTTTGCCGCTATGCACGGTTCCAACTACTACTAGTACAACAATCAACTACTCAGCTCAAGTAACAATAATATCTACCGGTCACTTTCACTAAACTGCGGAAGGCTTGAGCACCACACGAAAATACCTGCAAAGAGGCTAAATTGAGGGCTTGAAAGTGCTACGTCACAGCATAGCAACAATTTCAAAAATTCAAAAATTGGATCCACTAGGATCCAGTTTTTGTATGGATCCAAGCACATTTCAAGCCGTCTTACGTTACTCACAGCAAGGTGATGTAACCAGTGAAACTGACTGATTTGGCTACTGGGGGCGGGGTTACAACTGGTGGCGAAGTAACTAAAAGTCACCCCTGCATACGACATGAGTGGGTTGCTATGCACCCACATACTGAGGCAATAGCAAAGTCACACCTTATTCGATAAACGTCACAATCACGTGAACCGGGGTCCCGGGAACCAGGCTAGGGAGTGGCAAGAGATCTGCGCTCAGTGCACAGTGGACTCTGTGTGCGAACATAGGAGTAGATAAATACCGGTATTTTACTACTCTTTTGTACGAACTGGGCCTTTCTTGCCACTCGTTTCTCGTACGCGCACGCGTGGCCTAGCTTATGACAAATCCCTGGAGGCGAGTCCAAAAATCACGTTATCGAATAAGGTCTATAGCTAGCTTAGTGGATCCAAAATAGAAAT